GATCAGCCCAGAGGTTGTTTCAGGAATTGATCTGTAAGTTAGCCATGCTTTGACTTTGATCAGCCCAATGGTTGTTTCAGAGTTCAATAAAATTGAAGTTTGTGTGTTTGTTATGATATTCATGCTCACCTTCTCTTTTCTTGCAGAATAATCTGCTTTTGTTTTTCAAACAAACCCATCTTACACTGTGCTAATTCAGCCTGGAAAATGATTGAATTATAATCATTAATGTGTAATCTTGTGAATAATCAAATGGGGCAGTATCTATACAATCGTAAATGATACAGCTAATAATGTACAGTGTATTTCAAATTTGTTGAAAGTTTTGTTGCATGTTGCAAACTTGTCTAGCCAAAACCGTCTAGAAATGCACTATGGTCCAAACATAATTTTGATCAAGGAAAGAAGACAAGAATATTGTATTACCAGCACATTTCTTTTTAAATCTAGACACCAGCTRTCCAATAAGGCTTCCATTCTAGCAAGATCAGCATCGATTCCTGGAGACCGTTGCCTACCAATGGGTGATTCATCAGATTTGTCTGATGATGGCGATTCTTCTGATGGGGAGGCATCATTTGATGATGAATKGGAACCACCTTSTCTACCATTTGGTGTTGCCGYAGCTGATTCTGGAAAAAATATGAACATGTGACCAGTGAATGTTAGATTCAGGTGATTAATAAGAATATCCTAAAAGGTATTTGGCTGTGCCCGGTTGCACTGTATGAAAGTGGATAGCGCCATCAGATGGATCAATCTTTATTCAGTGAATAAGTYGATGCTGTTATCCAATAAATTTATGACCACTGATAAGATTTATCTGTCAGATAGCRCYATCYACCCTTTGTACCACAASGCCCTGGACATTACACGTATCTATTCACCAATCATATTATTATTTCAGCAGCATTGAGATGTCATTCATCTTTCAYCACATGCCMYGTGAAAGAGTTTTTTTGATGAAGTTCTGTCTAAYTCACCTSTGGGTTATTGGGTTATCTAATCTYCTCCTTCCCCCCTGAWMAAYAATRTGCCACTATTAAARGTTTTTCTAATATTATATWAATTTGCAAATAATAATTTTACTGAAASCTTACCATCTCTCAAAAGTGAGTCTCTGGCCAAACTACCTTGWCCCATCAAAGAGATACTAGGTAATCCAGCAACACTATCTCTAACTACATTAGAAGTGTCTTCAACATAGATGCTTTGTGATGAATCACTATTCGATGGTTTCGAAGAAAAAGAAGCGCTTGACTTTGACGAATCTTCACTTGATTGACCGCCATTATCAACCCCTCGCGACGGTTGAGCTTTGCTATTTCTTTCATAAATATTCTCCGCTATATGGATTTTTGGAGTTACAACGGCATATTTTAGGAGTTCTTCGTATTCTTTTTGTAATGATGAAGAGACTGAGCTTCCGGGAGAATCGTTATCTGGTAAATAAGGCAAGGAATTGTCACTACTTGAAGACATTTTTTCAAAGTAAAACCAAAATACGKGTAGTTCAAAAACATATGAACGATATATATCGAGTTTTCTGATTGGTTGAAATTTTTATAAACTGACTGCTGATTGGCTAAAACAAT